GTTCGGCGGGAAGCCCTGCAGGCAGCCTGACAGCAGCCTGGGAAAGCAGCTCTGCCCAAGAAAAGCAGAAGGCCTGATCTTCTTCCCCCTGTCTCCCCTGGAGCCAGCCTGCCTGCCTGAGCTACACAGAGGCCCAGTGCTTTCCTGTGCAGCTACAGTTCCCCCCAGGACTGCCCGAGTCAGGTGCCTGCAGGCAGGTGCCACCTGGGTGGGGGGGCACCATTGCTGTGGAGGGAAGCACCAGCCTCCCCCCACCACCTCCATCCAGGAACTGCTCTGCCTGCCAGCAGCTCACCCTCTCCTCCCTGCCAGAGAGGCAGGTAAGTCAGCGGGATGTGTGTATGAATCAGCGCTAAATTGAAGCAGTGATTTTTTAAAACCCACTGCTTCAATTTAGGGCCCCTGTTTCATCTACACACACCCAAAGAAAGCAAGATGATTACAACATACATTACCCAAATTCCCCAGTGCCCAGAATATACACAAGGTGTGTGGTCCATCTGGCTGGTACATAAACGCCACCTTGAGGTTCTTTGTTTGAATGTCTGACATAAGCAACCTTGGAGGTTGCGGCCTGATGCCAACTGCCTACTTGCTGTTTTGAAAGCTCCTCCTTTTGTATTCTTTCTTTTCCAGTGGCTCTTCATCTTTGGGCATCATTAATTGGTCTTCCTGTGGTTGTCATACTGTCCATATTCTGTTTTGTCAACCAAAATCCTATTTTCATAAACCTATCACATGTATACATCTTATTTTGGGCTTTACTGGTGTCCTCCTAATATGGTCTGTTCCCCCAAAACCAGAAGGCCCGAGGGCTTGTGCAAGTGGGCATTGTAGCCCTGGTGCCAGGCCTATCTCTATTATGAAAATAAAGTTTGAATGTTTTCGATTTCCCAGGATGCGTATATCCATTGGCCGGAGATGCCCTGTCTTCCCTGAGGCTGTGAAACTGTGTGACAAAACAGGCTTTTCAAAATCAAACCCTTGCTGTTGCCCTGGACCACTGTTCTAATACAATATCTATTTTACCTATGACCCTAAAAGCAAATCTCTACATATCATTTTCTAGCCATCAGATCTGGCCTGTGGTTTGGAAGTTGAGCATTATGGTTTTAAGGCTTCTATTCCTAGAGTTTGTTGCTGTAGCCGGATGAGGCTTCATGAACATTTCCCTGAAGAAGTATTTTCTCTGAAGTAAGTGTGTGTGTTTTTAGTTTTTATTTATTTGATTTACATACCACTTTTCCCAAAGGTTCACAGTGACTTATCATAAGGAGAATGACAAAGACAAGACAATTTAGAAGGGAACTAGAATATCAACAATATACCAATGTTTGCTAAACACCTGCCAAAATAAGAAGGTCTTAAAGTGCTTCTGAAAGATGCCCAAGCTTGGGCACTTCCAGGCCTCAAGAGGTAAAAAGTTCCAAACCTGGGGAGTGACTGGTGAGTATAATATCCCATGTTTTTGTACCAAAAGGATTTGGCATACTGATGGTATTTGGCTGACCTAAGAGATTGCGATAGGGTGTAAGGGAGAGGATGGTTCCTTAGTTGGACCCAAACGGTTTAAAGGCCTTATAGGTCAAAACCAGCATCTTGACTTGTACCTGGAAGGCTATCGACAGTCAGTGCCAACTTTGAAACACTGTAGTTATTTGATCCCTGTAGCCCATACACATCGGAAGGTGGAACGCCATGTTCTGCACCAGCTGCAACCCAGATAACTGCTATAATTCCCTCATTTTCAGATAATTTCATCATTATTCTCCACTTACCTGTTTCCAAGTTAAATATATGAACAGTTCTCTTGCTTTCTACTTCCATAAGTGTTTTCTATACTACAAGGCTATTGTTATGATAGGAATACTGATGGATCACTCTGTTATACACACAGTATATGCCAGCAGCAGGAATGTTTCTGCTCCCATAGTTATACCAACTCTGCCCAACAGCAGAATCTCTCCTGGCAGAAGCCTTCCTATGCTGACAGACCTATATCTATGCTGGGGTGGGGTGGGGTGGAGTAGCCAAAATAGTTTTCCTGGCAGAACCTCAACATAGATTAAGCCGTAAATGCTCCCTCCCCTCAAATAAAGAAGATAGTCCTTGAATTTGCATATTCATTTTTCTTTGCTATAGGAAATAGATCTTACTCTCCAGCTAAGCACACCCCATGTCTGATGCCTGACCACTGAGGCAGGAAACCACCCTTTGCCATGAAGTATAAATTATTGATAAAGCTCCACTTTTCTGTCATAGTCACATAAAAAAATATCAGATTTAATATAGCAGGATGCATGCTTTTTAAAGAAACCTATACAACTGATACTGTTTTCCAGACCAAATTTAATATTCATCTTGGTAAGTATTGATACAGTGTAAAACATTTATTAGTTACGATTTTGTCATCAGACTCATACTTAAAATATCATTAATTTCTCTATTAATTGAGCTCATAACCAATTGAAAGGGAATGTATTAGATGCACATATAGTTTTATATGCATTGCTAGCATCTGAAGTCACCTTGATCTCCTATGGGATGAAACTCTAATTAACACTGGAACATATTTTGTCTATAAAAATTCTTGTTGATTGCCCAAGAGGTAACAGGAGCTCATTTTGTCAAATGTTGTTAGCTTTTATGGGTTTAGGTGGAGAGTTACTTGGAGTTGCAGTTGTGTGTTCTATGCTCAGGGCACATTCTATCCAGTTCAGTATTTTACGAATCTTGACATTCACATCTGATGTAGAGAAAAATGAACAAAAAGGAAGAAAGGTAATAAATCACTGTGTTCTTTAGTCTTAAAAGTTGAGAAAAGCAATATCTTAATACTCTTGCTCATAATTTCTGCCTGTGTAGTACTCACAAAGTTCACCAGGTGGAATCACAGCAATGAAATTAGTTCATTGACATGAGTTGGCTATGAAGAATAAATAAAAAGCTACCACTAATATGATGACAAGGCCTTTGACCTTCGAGACATGATAAAGCTCATTGGTCAGATACTGATAAATTAATAAAATACTGAAACCGTTAGTCTTTTGCAGTTACAATATATTGCAGCTACTGACATTTTATTAAATCCCTATTTTTAGAGGTTCCATTATATATCAACTGCAAGAGATTACGGTAAAATTCTGCAGACATGGTGGGAGCATAGGAATAGGAACAAAGCAATGTTGTGCATTCAAATGAAAATTTGAGAGGTGAGAGTGAAGGAGGAAAAGGGGTTTAGGATAATTTTAAGTTAGAAAATTTAGAAATTATTCTAAGAATTGTCTAATATAGGAGGCTCACTTTAACTACTGTAGCTCCAGTGAATGTAATGGAAGATTTCTGATTTTCACCACTGTAAGATGAGAGCGCGGTATTAGTTTCCAGCTATATATTTTAGCACCATCATAATGACAAAAATGAATTCATTTAGAAGCCTGAAATGTGGTCACCCAGAACATGGGTGTTTTGGATAAAATGGCAATAAATACATTAATTAACATGGCAGAGCTGCACAATTTTAAACAAAAAAGTCAAGAAACCTATACCAAGCAAGCAGAAATTTGTCACCTGCGAAAAATTTGAGCTAACTCTAAAAATATAATTTTCCCCTACTAAGCCCTTAGTTTTGGAATCCTTTAAAGCAATCTCAGATCCTTTTAATAGAGTCTGATTCATAGAAGGTTTATGGACAAAATCCATAAGGAGCACACACAAGACTAGGTGCACACACAGACAAGGATTACCCAAGGTCAGGTTGATCAAAATGCCTAGGTGTGCAGAGATTCACAGGGCTTTAATCACCCAAACAATGTAATGTCTGATTTAAATTTTAGATTGACCTGGATTAGCCCAGTCTAGTGCATGCATTCACAGCATAGCCCCAGGGCTAGGAAAGCCCAGACACTCACCCAGCCTCTGGGCTCTGCTAGCCCCCTCCCCTTGCCAAGTTATTTATGTCAGGCTTCCAACAGCAGCGAAAGCTTGCACATGCTGCTTCCAGGTTTGGTTTAAGTGGCTTAAAGTAAGACACCTAAATCTAAACTTGGTTTTATAAATGCTAGTTCACACATCCCCACTCACACATGTGTCATTCTAATTGGAATTCAGATACAAGCTGTTCTTTTGCCCAAGTCACTGAAGACAATTCATAAGCCAGGATCCCACCCTTATGAGATAAATACCCAAACTCTAGGCTACAGAATGCTTCCTCCTGGACCTCATTAGGACCCAGTAAATCTTGACTTCCATGAAGAATGGTGGCATCATTTACTTATTTATTGTCATTTTATGCAAAACACCCATGTTCTGGGTGACCACATTTCAGGCTTCTAAATGAATTCATTTTTGTCATTATGATGGTGCTAAAAATATATCTGGAAGCTAACACCATACTCACACTCAGCACTGCAGAGTGTTCCCTTCTCAGAACCACCTATAAACAAGTGGTTAGAACAAAAGGAGTTTCATGTGTTTATTAAATATTCTAACAAAATGAGCCCGTGTCTCCTCCATACAAAATCAGTTTTACACTTCACTTGACTTTGGTCAAATTACTCCTGACTGGAATATCCAGCCCAATATGCCTCATTACCATGTTTGTTGAATTTTAGTTATTTTAAAAGGTTTCTAAGGAGCTATTAGGGTTTGTCATGTCAGTGACACCTGGCACCCACATTGACTCAATAGAATTTAATAGCACCAAAAGAATTGTTATTGTCTATTGGCTCACTGGTCCATGAACTAAAAAGTTCCTTGAGCATGTCTTGGCACAGTGCAGCAAAACAGCTGTTATGCCCTATTGTTGTCAAGAATATGCATTTTAACAACTCCTAATTATGTATTTACCCAGTACAGTGAATAATCTTATACATTTATTACTTTTAGCACATATTTACCCAACAAGTCATGGCAGCTGTAAATGAACTATGTATGTTGTAGAAAGAAAACATATACAGTAATTCATTAGCTGCTCACTACTTAAACACAATTTTTTGACAAATATTTTATTGGATATGGTGAAAGTGCATAAATACAGGTTGAATCTGATGAAATTTATGTGTCTTACATTTTTAGCAAAGACAAGAGATTATGAAAAAAAATAAATATCATATTTACTCAAATCTAAGATGAGGTTTCCTTCCCCCATTCAGCATGGGGTGAATCCCTTCTCTTAGATTTGATTATGACCCATGCAAGTAACCAATGTGGTTCTAGATTGGGCCAGCGGGGTCATGTGGCAGACAGTGGTGCACAAACCGGAGGGAATACTTGAAAAAGGGATGCACAATGAAAGGTGAATACAAAGGGAAAAGGGCACATGGTGCAGGGGGGAGCACAGGGAAGGGGTACAATGCAGGGAGGAACATGGGAGAAGGGACACACAGAATAAGGAAAGCACAGGAAAGGGAAGCAGGAAGGGGTGCACAGCGCAAGAAGGAATGCAGGGGAAAGGGTATGTAGTGCTGGGGGGAGCATGGGAAAGGGGAAGGAGTACACAGTGCAGAGGGGAGCTTTGGGGGAAAGTGTGGAGAGGCAGCATGGGGGAAGGGATTTGCAAAGCAAGGGAAGCACCGGGAAAGGGTGCAGGGAAGGGAAGCATGGAGTGGCAGGGGGCGCTATTTCACCTCCAGCTTCATCCTGACCTGGGCTGGAGGCTGAAACAGGAGCCACCACTACTGCCTGGCCCAGCTGGGTGTTCCATGCCCCTGGAAGAGGCAGAGACAGAGGCAGAGCAACTGCAAAGGTAAGTGGAGGGGAGGGAGAGAGGTAGAAACAAAGGCATTAGAGAGAAGCCATGGGGGGTGGGGGAGGCAGGCAGCAGGGGGACCAGCACTGTGGGGGACAAGGGGCATGGGACATCAGCTATTTGTCACGCAGCTGCTGCTTTCCCTGCCACTACTTTTCTGGTGACAGGGGTGGGGCTTTGGGGGGGATGAATTTAATAGGACCCTCCAATAACTAGATTCTAGATATTTTTTTTGTTAACTAAATTTTACACATCTAGAACCTAATAACTGGGACATCATCTTAAATACAAAGTCATCTTGGATCCAGGTAAATAGGGTAGTCATTTAATTAGAAGTATAATAGGTATAATAGCATTATGCAGTAGAAACTGGTTAAGGAGACATAAGAGAATAGGGAAAAAATATATTTTCAAATAGATAATAAGAGATCCAAAGGTCCATATATTCTGATGATGGACTGAGTGAATTAATGATCCATAAAGAGAGCTAAACAAAGATGTCACAAGATTTTTCAGATTTTGATTTGTAATGATTACAGACAACTGCAAGGAATTTCTAAGTCACTTGGCAAATGTTTACTCAATGTCATGATGGTATCTTTTCCTCAATCCTAACAATCACACCTCCTGCAATGCCCCATGAGAATGACAGGACAAGTGATTTTGAGATTGGGGCTCAGATCCCAATCATGCCATTATGACTTACTATTATGATGCTAGGCTTCCCTTGTACCGCCAAATAGAAAACTGGGTTCCCAGTGAACAGGTGTACTTCCAGGGCTGGAATCGACAATCAGCTGATTGCCCTGGGACCACAACAGATCTCATGGAAGGATTTAGTGCTGTTGTTTTCACCCTGGGACCACACCACAGCTAGCTAAGAGATTTTAGTACAGTCCAGATGCTGAGATGACAGCAAGACAATTGCTGATCTCAGCTGCGGGATCTAATCAGGGCTGGTTTAAAATTCTAGTAGGATCCGGGGACTCAGACTGACTATCAGCTTGTTGGTCCCATCCCTGGAACCACATTGAGACCAGTCTCAGAGCCCTGCCATGCAGCCAGCATTAGGCTGCATGTTGGGGACTGTGCCATACATTCCATTTAAGGGTTGATAGAAACCAGCCACAAAGTTATTCCATATATTTTATGGAATCATTTTGTGGCTTATTTCCCATTATATCACATCATTAATTGTCTGAACATGTGCCCAAGTTACTATTTAAAACACAATTAACTGGTTAATTATGTCTTATATGTAATGTCTGCCAGGGCTCTCAGGAGTCTCAGGGATCTAAACCAATGATAGTGGAAGCCACAGAAAATATGGCAAGGGATGGATCTTTCCAGATATGCCCTTTGCATATGTTCTCCATCGAAGTCTAAAGAATCTACAGACACCATTGCAGAGATGCTAGATGGACCATTGATCTTACCCAGACTCCTTATGATCCCAACCAAAATGAATTGGTAGTGTGATGGGAAGAATTATGCAATGGCAATTCTACCATACCAAAATGCTCAAAAGTAAGAAGTTGTATAATTGGATCTAACAATGCAAGTAACACAAGTAAACAACTGAAAAATATCCAACCAAAATAGCCCACCCCGAACAGTTTTAACCTCACAAAAGAGAAGAAAGAGAAACGGCAGGATATCTGCAAGGGACTTTACTATTGCTATTGATTTTACATGGAAGGCACTCAGATATTATGGTGACTGATGGGAGTATAGATTCTCAAAATAGGCTTTATCTTTATGGGAAATTTTAACCAATTAAACTGATATATCCTTGCTAATGAAGACACTTATTCTAGTAGAAGACCATCTTCATGGTGGATTAGAGTGCTACAATTATATAAATTTAAAACCACAAATTAGGTTATACCAAAAAAAACCCCAAAACCCTTTTCTGTGCAGACATGGCCCTAGATAGACACACAGACTAGGAACAGTAAGAACATCTGTACTTGGAACAAACTAAATATTAAGATATATAAAAAATGCATAGAAAATAATCTTGAGAATATGATGGTGCTATTGCATAAATCAACAGTGTGCCTTTTTTCCTATGCTACAGAAAGAGCAATAACTCCTTGGTATTACCTATGAGGTTATTGAATGTGTAGGTTGGTTCTTTTCTTTCTGCATGCTCCTCCCTGGAGAAAAATAAATCTTAGTGAATGATAGGTATATAAGGAGGGGAATATGACTAAGTGCTAGAATTATAGAAGGCTTTTTGAAAAGGTAGATATTAAAATTCCATATACATGTGAACCATGTTAACCCTTTTCTTTCTAGCAAAGATCTTGTACTGGTGTTAAAGGACATTGTTAAATTGAAGTCAGTGGAACTATATGATCTTACGCTGGTTACGGCTCTCAGTTTTGTAAAGAAACAAAGTACAAAGCTCTTTCCATTTCTTTAGCATGCCAAATATTTTGTCCCTTTAATATCCTGAAAACAAACAAATGAAACCCCGCCCTATCCATTTGATTTCAGGCTGTCAAAGATTATATAAGTAAAGATAATAAACATAGACATTCTTCAACTAGCTCTCTGATGCAGAGGTATTATATAACAACTTCAAAGAGGCCCAAAACTCATGGGGACAACAAAAGATGATGCTCATAAAAATTGCAAATACACTGCTAACTTTGTAAAAGCTGGCATTTAGAGAATCTAAAGGGCCCTAATCATTCTGGATTCTCTTTCACTAAGGTATTATGAAAGAAATGCCTATGATTTCTTTAAATGGGGTTGACAACAGTCTGTAGCACCATCACATTTGTAGCAGACTTCACTGAACATGACCAGGTCACAAATAGTATTGCTTCAGGCTAAGGACATTGCTAAACTTCTCACATCACACACCAACTTTGGAACAAAACTATATGTTCTCTGATTACCACTTACTTATTTTGTCTACAGAAGGAAGCACTGACAAGAAGTAAGGGGTTCAATTACATTCCAAGCCTATGAATAGGGACCTCCCTAAATTGCAGTGGAAGTTCACAGTGCAGTAGTGCTTTTAATCTCGTTCTTCTCCTCACTCACCCCACACCGCACCACCAGTACTGCTGAGTGGCTGAGGGGCAAAAACTGTGGAATTAATTGCTACTGCACCACAAACTTCCATCATGATTTAAGTATGTCCCTACCTATGAGTGGCTACAGGCATACTCAGCCACCTTTTAAACAAAATTATCTTGATAATGGTAGCATAAATTACTAATTCATTTGGGACATTTTCCCAATGTTTCTTTCCTTTGAACTTCCCAGGTACAGCTTGCACACATGTATGTCATATTCTAACCCACAAAACTCCCTTAAGTAGACTCTTCCCCTGGGACATGAGAGTACATAATCAGCATATAGTTAGGGCTCTCGTGGGTCGTAGCTGCAGAAATGATGCAGACTTTCTGGGGAAAACTGTCTGTGTTAAAACTGAAAGCTTCAGAAACCTGAGTTAGAAGTATGCCAAAAAGAATTTGAGAGCAGTGAAATATAGTCAAACAAACAAACAAGCAAAAAAATAAGATAAGTACAAAATATTAGCTTTCCCCAATTGATCTTGGAATACTTAGAGATATCACATTTGAGTATCAAGTATAAGAAATCTGTTGATGCTCATGAACAACTTCAAAGTCTAATATTTCAAAATGTTATGATACAGTGTCAAAATAATGCATTTTATATTGTTTATTTTTAGCACCAATCTATGTCTCTGCCTTCCATCACACTGACACTACTTTCCCTGCCTAATCTTGGAACCAATCCCCAAAAAGACATCTAAACAAAGTTAATGCTTAAATATTCTCTTTGGGGCTCACAGAAATCTTCAAAGTGTCTTATTCTGAAAAGGCTATAATGATTTGTGATGAAATACTAGGTTTCACTTGTCATCAACATTTGTTAGTTGCTTTTCCTGTTGTCCTCCCAACCCATTCCATCTAATTCAAATGCCCTCTTCCCGCAGAATTTCATTGTGGTGAATCCAAACTGTCTAGATTCTGACCGCTACCCTTATCCCTTATATCAGTCTTAAGGCAACAGGTGTTGTGGGGTTTTTTTTGTTTTTGTTTTTTGTTTTTGTTTTATTTTAACTTAAATCAAGTAAGGAAAGATTAAATTTTATTTTACACAATGTAATAATTGATTAGCTATATATGGAGCTGAAATCACCTGACATCTCTACTGAGATTTGTTTGCCAGTGTCTGAATCTTGGTCAACAGTTTGCCAAAACTCTAAATATATAATAACTATTTATTTCAGTATTGTGGGTTTATTTACCTAAGTAACAATTATATTGACATATGTTAACATATCCAGACATATTTATTGTAAAAAATAATTTATTACAGGTTTTATACAGTATATTATGTTCAACACACACATGCATACCTGCTATGAAACCTCTGTGACTGAATCACTGTCTCATCCACTCTGATTTCTGTGGGATTAAAAAAAAAAGTTTCCACTAAATATGGGTTCCTTCCTACGTATCTTGACATATCTTTCTCTTTCTCTCAAAAAACAAGGTACTTCTGTGAAAAACACCAGTACTGCCTATATTAGCTTGAAATAACCAATAGACTAATTTTGTGTTTAATTGAAACTTCATGATATATATGGGGGAAAAGACTTTTCAAATGAGTTACTTTCATTAAAGCCCTAATGCAGACAAGTCAAAGTATTAGCTAACAAAACAGTACAGAAAGACTACCATTGTATCAATATCAAATTATACTGATATAAGTTGTTACAATTTAACTGTTTTGTTTGCATGATTCTGCAATGTTACACTTGCAAGAAGACTACTCAACTTTAACCCTACTTCATTCATGGTCAAATTTCAGAGATTTATCTAATTTATATCAGCACAGTTACAGCTGATGTACCCTCTAGAACAGGGGTAATGTTTTCAGCTGAAGTACTGAAAAAAACACAATGTGTACCTTGTAAGGTGCAAAACTACCAGCATGCCAGAAAAATAAAACCAGGGTGGGGGGTATGTGGCAGAACGCACTGCATATTAATATAATTTAAATAATAAATGTTGCTTTTTTTGTTTTTTGACAGTAAATACCAGGTTTTTCTTTAAAAAAATTAAACCTGGTGACAATAAATAACACTTCATATACTACCTTTTTTCTTGGTAAGTAAAAAAAAAAAAAGGTATACTACCTTTTTTCTTCTTCTTTTTTTGTTTAGCATGCACTGATGAGACAGAGAAAAAAAAGAGAAAGCAAGAAAGAAGGAAAAAAGTGAGAGAATAAAACAGAGTGGGGGAGAAAGAAAAAAGAAATAGAAGAGAAAGAAAAAAGTGAAAAAAGGAAAGAAGAGAGAAGAAACAGAGAGGTAAAAAAAAAGAAGAGAAAGAGACAAGAAAGAGTGGAGAGGAAAAAGAAGAGAAAAAGAGAAGAATAAAAAAGAGAGAAGAGAAAAAAGAGAAAGAAATAAGGGGAGAAAAAAGAGAGGAAGAGGAGAGAGAAGAAAAAGAGAAGAAAAGAAAAAAGAGAAAGAGAAAATAGAAGATAGAAAGAAAGAAAGATAAAGAAGGGAAAAAAAAGACTTTTGACTTTTAAGAGGCATTTATTCCAGGGAGGGTGACATATCGGGGCCAGTACAGAGTATGTACAGGTTGGCCCGAACACCTGGGCCTCACGGACATGGCCTGGGCTCATGGCCTGCAAGGCCTGCCCGTACACTCTAGACTAAAAAAACACAGCGAGCAAAAGGACTATTTACATATTTACAGTTCTGCCAGCGGGGACACCCATGGGGGGCCTCAGGGGTCGACCCGCGTGAAACAAAGTCCAAAGCCTCGGCCCGCTGGACGCGTCTCCGCAGCTTGAGCAGCCTGTGGTGTTACAGGGCAAGGAGCAGGCGTCCTGCCTCGACTCGGAACCGC